TAAGGCAATTTGGCCCATAGGGGACAGTGTAGTTCTCTTACTTAATTTGTGAATAAATACTAACACGTAAATATCGATGAATTTTTTAACCATTGGACTTATAAGAAAAGGGGGGCTATTGTTCATAAACACAGATAAACAGTGTCTTTTTTTACCTTTCCATGCAATAGAAAGGGTGCTCATCATGTTAAAAAGTTACAGCTTAGTCCTATTGAGTTAGTTCATCATTCCTTCCAGTCCTTTTGAATTTTTCAATAGAAAAGTAATAATTTTGCGGTGAATCAAAATTTGATAAATATATTAACATTTTTAAAATATGTGACACGCATATGTGTGAAGGGTGTGATATTCAGAAAATATAACTCAAATGTAGTACAATCTTACTCAGAAAAAGATATGTTAATGATTTAAAAATTCTTTTCGGTTTAAAATAAAAACTACACTATGATCGGCGACAGTAACGTAAATATCGATTTCTGCTATAAAATGCGATTTTCTCCTAAGACAATCATTCAAGCTACAACAAACAATTGTTATATTTTAATCAACAACCAACAAAGGTTCGTAAGACTGGCAGAAAATAAAATTTATTTGAAATATTATATTACTTAAAACGCGGTACATTATTTAAAGCAAATTGAGACTATAAATTGAGAATGCGTGTATAACGCCTTTTAAATTTTTTTTCTCTCTAGATTGATCCTAATAGGCTTTCGTAGTAAAGTCATCTTTAACATATTTGATTCATTTATTTTACTGAATGACATACTGGGTGATTTTTTTTAAAAAGCATATTTAGTGGAAAATGGGTATATTAATTGGATCTAGCCATAAGAATTCATTTTTGAATATGAAAGGATCAAGTTTTTATTCTAAGACTTGCGTTTAAATGACGGAAAAGGAAATGTAAAATCCATTGTATGTTTTTTTAATGGAGTCTGAACCGCCATTCTGTTTGAAAATCGAGCTTTGATTGATGTCCAACAATCTACAGAAGCAGGGCATAAATATACGGAACCCCGGAAATACTAGAGGCGAGAGCAGGTGCCTAGGACGATAAAGCATCCCTTGTTGATCGGTCGCACCCGTTGTGAGCCCTATGCATTCATCAAGTAAAGAGAGTATTCCGTAATCAAATTTAGTATAAAAACAAAGGCCTAACAACTGGATGAAAGAAGTAGGCCAAAAACGACCCAATGACAAATTATATATAAAAGGTGGAAAAACATCATTTGTCTCAACAAATTCGTTTATTAGAAGCAATAAGAGATACTAGTATATCTCTTTGGCATAGATAGATATCTCTTCTAAGCTTATATAGAGATATCGCTTTAACTAAAAAAGGTTTGATTCTACACTACTATACCTTAGGATGATTCTATATTAATTATTAATCATGGCATCGATGTTCTTGAGAAGAATATATTAATTGAATGTTTTTAATATGCATTCCATTGTAACCTTTGGTCGAACATAGCGGCTCTATCGCCGTAACTGTACCTGTATCCTGGAACCCTACAATGGACTCCTACACCTTGTGTGATTGACTACCGTTGTCCCACCCCTTTCCCTGTGGGCGATAAAAGTGATGAAATTCAATCAATCTACAAAAATAAAAAAAAAAATGAGAAAAGAAAATGCATTAGGCTAAAATAAAAAATACCTTTGTTTCCCCTAACGCGACCGACCCAATTAAATCGCGCCGACTGAAAAGATTTTTTAAATAAGATGATTCAAATATTTTTTTTTATTGTTAGCCAAGTTTTATAAAATACAATTTCATCAAAATCAGTTTTTATCTGAACGGCCGACATTGTTCTTCTGTGACTTTCAAGCATTTGTTGGAAACAAAATGACGTCCAGATCTGATTACAGGGCATTAGCTCTTCATAAACAATGGCAACATCTCAATCTTATGCTTTTAGCTAATTGGAATTCTTCACTCTTGAAACAATTCGATAATGAAATTTACCATGACTAATTAAGAGTGTCTCGGAGGTGTCTTGGCGTCTCCATGTGAGTGAATAAATTTTCGAAAGGGACGTTAAACAACAAACAAACAAACCTGTCTTTGAATTTAAGGTACGTAATACATGGTAAGGCCCGCCTCATGAGTAGATGAAGGACCCACCTAGTGAACACATCATTCAATTTCACTGCATTTTATTTAATTTGAGTTTAAATTTGATCTGATAACCAATTCATCTATGTTCCTATGTTTACTATATGCCATTATGGAACCATAGGAGTTGTTGTAAATATGTCTGCATATTCATCGTGATAAATATAAATCAGATGTCCTTTCTTCATGCCTTTATTAAGTGGTTGAACTTCGTGACTATGACGTATATAGCATATAGCATTTTGATCATTTGTAGATTTTGGTTCATTTAAATATTGTTAACATACTCTTTCCAAATAGTTTTGAAATAATGGTTCAGCTTCCTATGACGTTCAGTGTATTTTTCTTTATTTAGGCCCTTGAAGATTGTTTGTTTCTTTGCTTTTAATTCTTTCGAGATTTGTTAGGATGACATTTAAACATTTCCCCATTGCTCCAGATTTAGACGTACTCAGCACTTTTTTTTGCCATTAAGCAGTGGGGATCTTTTTTGAGCCAACATTCACTGGACATAAGTTTTTTTGGTCCCCTTTGAAGGACCGATTTCAACGTTACTCATTGGGATTCGAACCTGCGATGTAAAATTAGCCACTTACTCTCCAAAGCAAAATACTCCAGAACCACTGCAAATCTCATGGCCCTCAAAAAGGACATTGATCGTCTATAAGCTTTGAAGGCTAATGAAAGATTTGAAAGAATATACTCGTATGTCTGGTATTTGTGTATTTGAGAATCTTGTCTATTTTATTCAATTTATATACATGTAAATGTAATGGCGTGAGATATTTCACAAGTTCAACTAAGAAACAGTTGTGAAATATTATTATAATCATGAATTTTGCTTTTAAACGGCATATGTGCGATACTTAGCATTTTGTTCACAAATCGCTTTCTTTTGTACTTTTCTTATTTTATAAAAGTAATTTTCCATTGAATTTTAGAATTTATTTTCAAAGCTGCTGTCAAAAAATAAAATTGTTTACCTAACTACCGACCCAACTTAAGAATTTAGGGTCGGGTTAGGGGAAACAAAGATATTTTTAATTCCGGCCTTATGATTCATTAATCACAAGAAGACACCTGTGAATTAGTCATGTTTTAAGGTGGGGAAGGGGGGGGGAAGAAGGGAGAGGTCAATCATAATTTAAACAATTAAAAACAGAATCAGTATGGTTCACCTTCTTTCTGTTTTTTTAAGCAACAAACAAAACTTCATCCTTGACACATGTCTATCTTGGTTCCCTGGCTGCTGAATTAGCTCCATGTTTATATCTTCTTCTTACTGGACCGACCTTGTCAGTCAAACATATTTGTAAATAGTAACAATGGAAACAAGTTTAAAGAGGTATGTCTCGTGCACGATGTCAACTTTGCGATGTGGACGATGTCAACATGATGGTGAATGAAAACAAAGTAGACGATGTATTATGATATCGTTGTTGACAATGTCAATATAGAAAAACTGACAATGTTGACGATATCAACACTATATCGTGTTTACACTGTTTACATTGCGATGCCAACAATATCTATTTGATAAAGTGAACTGGATATGAATGAGTTTAAAAGGTTAGAAAGTATTGAAATATTTTTCTTTTACAGATCGTAAATATCTTAGTTCATTTTTCTACGAGCTCTATGTTGACTTTACACGAGAATGTTGATGTCCTTGTTTCATCCACTTGTTGTCTAGAGCTTGTACTTCTTCTGGCGGCCGCCACATAAATAACTGGAGGCCGCCAGATACCGTGGTACATTGTAATTATTTGGCAGTCGCCGAACATGCGCGGATCTAGGGGGGGGGGGGTTCAGGACCCCCTCTGGAATTTACCCGGTTAAAAAATGTATATACTAAAAAAAAAACAAGAAAAAAGTTACACTGGACCCCGCTTGGAAAACGCTGACCCACCCTGGTAAACGCGAATATGTGTGAAATGGGTATGAAAAGTGAAAGATTTGAGGCAATAGAAGTCACCACTACCCCCACCCCCCACGAAATAGTTTTTTGACGTTTGGGCGAGTTTTTTTTTTTTTTTTTTTTTTGCTTGTCAAGAAATTTCTGGGATTGGATTTTCTTTTTGACTGGGGTGGACCCCCCCCCCCCCCTGGAAAAAATTTCTGGATCCGCGCCTGCCGAATAAATATTTTCTTACCTTGCTTCTATCCGCTACCGTTTATACACAGGTATTGTTAATTGATAAAATGTCGATATATCTAAATGTTGAATTGGCAAAAACTGTTACGATATGAATGAAACCTTCTCCCAAAATGATAAAATGTTTTAAAGTAAATTACCTGTCCCTGATCATTCTAATTTTTGAACATCCTTGCTGAAAAGCAGCATCTGAAACCTGAGGGTACAATAAACATCATCAAGGTACAATAAACATCATCAACGGTAGATGCACCACTTGTTTAACTCTGATCAATACTGAGTGCATAGCACAAACAGGTGGATTTAGAGTACAGCATCAGATAGTAAAGCCACCCCCCCAATTTCTTTCAGATGCAATTCTAAGCATCAGTTTCAATTTCATCCAATTTCACTACAACTTAGTACACTGGAATAAAACAAGATGCATATTTTTTCTATTGGTTATTGACTCCAAAAAACATTGTTTCAATGGTAAATAAAAAAAAAGAGTAGTAAACAAAGAAATTGTTTCTAAAAAGAATTCAGCTCTAATTTTTATACAGTTTTTGACTGATTTAAGGTAGGTGCAGAAGAATAAATTATGGTACCTTAGTCTGCACATTAATTATTAATTCCAACGAAGAATGCTGCATTTTTTTTTTACAGTTAACAAAAACAAATAAAAAAATAAGGATATAAAATTTCTTTATTGAAATTTATTTCGATATAAATTAGCTAATTGATTTAAAGTAGCATGGAAATTTGATTTTATTTCTTTCTTAAGCAAAATGTGCAATGCTGAACAGTTTTATATAAAACTCCAATGACATGAATAATTCATCTTGGAATTGGAGCTGTATCTTAAATTTTCATAGCCATTAAACTATTCATGATTTAGCTAGCACATTATTACACATTTTATGCAGACATACATGTATTTAAGATCATACATGACTATCTCTGTATAATTTTGAAGAACATTTTACTTAAAGCATCTATTTAAAAGCCTTACAGAACATGAAGGGTTTCGATCAGTGAATAATAAAGTCTATAGTCAATAAATAATATCACAATCATTGCACAACTTCATGACCAATCTACTCTGTAAGTTCAGGTGTCACTTTCATCTGATGAATCTAGGGCTTTAGTTTCTTGTAGCTGTCTTCTTCTACAAAATATAGTAAAGCACCTTGAAATTTTATCTGAATATACCATCATGTATCAGGATTTGGTTGCACATTCAGTTTATACTTAAGCTCAAATATACAATTATCTTAACCAGTATGTACACTACAACCTTCCCTGCTCACAACAGAAAGAAAAAATAATTCTTTGAAAAGACAACTAAGGCAAGAACGTCATAGCCCTCTCTACAACACAGCACGACTTAAAATTTTTGACATGCTTGCTACATGTATACACTTGTTTTCATGCTATGGTACTTTTACCTTGCTTCAAGCCTTGAACACTTTGGACATTTTCCTTCTATATAACACGACTTGTGAAAACAAGATGAACAGTCTGGAAAGAAAGGAGAGAATAATAACATGATATGCTTTGTTAATGATAGTGATATAATACATGTAGTATGATAAATATTTGTCTGAATGGAATATCTAATTAAACACAAAGTGTAACAAACCTTTACAAACAGTGACTGTATGCAGCTGGAATGGAAAGATGACATCATTTTCATCTCTACAGAGCTCACAAATATATCCAAATCCCTGGCAGAACTACAAAATTAGACAGGTATAAGAATATCCATAGAGAAGTACCACAAGAGGCCCATGGGCCATAACACTCTCCTGAGTTACTATGACATTACCGTGAATGATTTAGTGTGGTCTAGCCACTTTGAAATACCGGTATTTCTTTCTACATTCTGCCTTGTGAAACTAATCACATATTCTAGCTTGATCTGATCAAATACTAGTATAAATCAACTATCTGAGGATACCTGCAAATGAGTTTACTAATGTTCCTTTGTATACATTTGATCCCCTGCTGTACACACTACCCCATGGGGTCATGATTTGAACATATTTAATTGCAGTTAATTCTACACCATGTAATAAAGATTTCAAAAACAAAATAATCTTTTCTGGCCAAGCTGAAAAGAAATACTTTTGAAGCTGCCATTTAATTTTTACAAACACTGAATTACAAATGTATCTCCCTTGAAAGAGGACTTGTCCACCTGAACACACTTCGGTCCTCTTTATGCTGTGTCGACTTTGGCTGAAACTGACTAGTGATTCTGGGGAAACTGGGAAAAATTTACGAGGACACTGACAACAATAACATGCAACAGACAGAGCTTGCTAAGAGCTCACTTGAGCCTTTTGGCTCAGATGAGCTAATTAAACAAAGGTACAGTTCTCAGATGAGTCAAACGTGTATAGGTAAAGAATGTGGGTTAACACCAGGCAGAGTCTGTCTTACCGTGCATTCCTCTATGTGATCTGTGGCTTCTGTCACCAAATCCCTGAGCTTTGTACACATGGAATTATTTTTTATCTGAAAAAAAAAACATAATCCATTTACTTATCCATAGTCTTAGTACAAAAAAATAACTCAACCTTAGACAAAATTTCAGATTATAAAACATCCAGATTAAACAAGTTCAACTGTAAATATTAAAATCTTTTCTTTTTTAAATTGAAATACAGTAGAATATCAAATTGTCACGGGGTTAAAATTTTGTTGTTTTGCCATCCAAGATGGTTTTTTTGGGCATCAAATTTCGTTGTTTTAAAGAGTAACCCTAAAGTCATATAAAAAATTTCGCTTTGGGGGGGGGGGGGGGGGGGGGGGGGGAAAATGTACGAAATATTTGAATAAAATCCAGGTCTTTTGGCAGCCATAACACATTATTACACATTCCTATGCTTTAAAGAACAAATACAATGTATTATTTCGAATTATCAAAGAAGATAACTGAAAAGTGAACTTACATTGACAAGATCACAGATAGAATACACATCAACATCCTCATGCCAATGGGAAGGCTCTGTCTTTATCTTGCTAATAATACTGTGAAAACATACAATTTAAATCAAGAATTATTAAAATTTGAGACATGAATGTTTCATTTATTACATGTAAAAAACTTAACCAATGTATTGTAATCTCAAGCAGATAAGTCACAGTAATGTTTTTTTTCAAACTTATAATACTACTCAAATAAAACTTTACCAATGATTGTAATTTAGCATAAGATGCTGACTATCATTTCCTAAAGTTTTAAATTAACTATTATTTTTGTGATTCAATTTCCCACTCAAATGTTCAATAATCAAGAAAAATTATATAGATTAAAGAAAATACATTTTACCTTTCCGAATATTTACAAATTGCAAGGAATTTACACAGGTACATAAGTTGTAGTCGTAAAGCGTGAATAGTATCCAGTATCTTCACTTTTTTGAACAATGATGGATTAATTGTCAATAAATTAAAATAAGGTTCGTTAAAAATCCTTGAGAGTAGGCGCCAAGAAAAATCAGACACCGGATATTGCTTGAAATCCCATTTCCTAATTATATGTCCAGGAATGTAATTGACTTTGTTTGTGTGACAACACTGACAGAAATATTTCCCAAGATATACACAGTATCGGAATCTCTTCATATAGGCTGAAATGCAAAATTCATAAAATAAGAACCTCATAACATAAGTTGAAATAAGCTTCAATCCTTATAAATTAATTTCAGTGTAGACAATGAGACAATTTTTCCTCCGGAAAAAGGCTTCAATTTAACAAATTTTATAAGTAAAGTCAACCGGAGTAATACATGTTTGGCGTAACTCGTTGTGACATAGACAAGATATGTTATATAAAATGGATTAAATCTTTTACCCAATCAAATGACGTTTTACCACTAAAATTTGAATTATTTTTTGATATCCCATTCAACTACTTTTCAACAACTGAATGTATCAAATTTCTTCGTTAAAAGAAAAAAAAAATAGAAAAACAAACACTGCATATATGTATACACAGTGTATATCAAAAGGAAATAATTTTTATACTGTCTATAAAATATACAAAAATTTTGCTTTCTAAGAATTTAATTAAAACCAGTTCTCAGTCGGTTTACCTGGTTCAACTCTGGTTCCACATCCAGCACACCGGAAATTCTGTTTTTCCATTACATCCCCTCTCCTGAAAATTCATCAAATTACATTTGTATTTAAATAAACTTTTATCTTTTGTCTATTATATTTTAATGTACTGTACATTAGGGGTATTTAAAATTAACTCTCCTTTTCACAGTTGACACAAAATAAGACAATAATGCTCTTAGTTTGATTTCAAGTTTCACTCACTTCTGATATGGATGAATGTCAAAAATTATCTGAGATCGGGGAGGGGCCCATTCATTGTTTCCCCTCAATCTCAATGCCTGAAAAAAAAGCACTGCAATAAGATGTCAGACCAAAAAGTGTGGCAGTCTTAGAAAGACTTTTTTTTTTACATGTAAATAAATACATCTTATGCAACCATTAAGTTGCCATGTTTCTTACCCCAATCACAGAGTTTGTAAATCCTTCCATTTCACTTTCCCCATCATCAGGGGATATTGGATAAGACTTTGGCAAGGGAAGTAACTGCAAAGCAAAAAAGAAATATTTCAAAAAGTTCAACTAAATAGATTTTGATTCCACATGTCACGGATTATCTGCGGATTTATGTATCGTACGTAACGTTATTGTTACGTCACAATACTGTACGTTATGTTTCTATAGTTAATAACAGAGTCTAAAATAAACCACTATATGATCAAGACGCATTTCTATTCTTTCCACAACAACTTATTTGCCTTTGGGCGTAATCATATCGTGACTGAAGATTGCTGTTTTTAGCATGAAAATGCTCCAAGTGAGTGCTGTAGGTCTTGATATTAACAACTTGATTCTGTAATTCATGAACCTCGTTATGCAGACGCCCGTTTTCGTACGCTAGTTTATTTATCTGTTCCATCATATCCTTCAATAGTCTGAAAATTTCTTTGTTGGTCAAAATTTAACAATCTCTCTAGCAGGGTACCATTTTCTCGTTCCAAAGCGTTAATCCTTTCTGTCTTAGACTTCAGCTCTGACTTAAGTTGCTTTATCTTGTTAGTCAGCTTGCTACGTTCTTGAATGGAGTCCACAGTCCGACTCACAGAAGTGGAAGCTGATTTCCATAAAACACTTTTATGTCGTTGTTCAACGTTTATTTCTGTGAGTTTTGGTTTGCTCGTTCCTACAATGTTGACAATTGTTGATTTGGTGGGCTCGTCTCTGTCCCTCGTTAGTTTCATGTCGCATATACTTGTGTGGTGTTTCTTCTGGCACTTTTTACATCTGTTGCGGGATTTACAATCTGTGGCGCGGTGGTTTCCTAAGCAGTTGAAACATAATTTCTTCCATATTAAGATATCGAATCTTGTACTTACTTCTGTAACTTTCTTACAGTCCCCTGGAAAGTGATTCTCTGTGCAACAATAAATGCATGGGCGGCTCTTTATCTCTGTTCTTTCGACATAAGGAGTTGACTTTCTTGTTTTCTGGTTGTGTCCATTATGAACATGGCGTTGTTTCTTTGAGGCTCCGGTAAGAAACATTGCTGTTGCGTGGAATTCATCGCTGTTTTCAATCTGGCCTGATTCAAGGATTTTGACTTCTTTGCTGATAGCTTTACGAAGATTGTGTAGTGAAATGTTGTCACCATCGTACTCACGTGCAATGTTTTTCCGGATTTCAGCTGGTAGCTTGTTGATTATGACTGGAATAAGTAAAGCTCCGTACATCTCTTGTTTTTGTCCTAAACACTCTAAACTCCTGACCTGAGATTCCAAGCAGTCTCCATAATTTCTTAAACTTATGGCGTCGTTTCTCGGGGCATGCAGTTCCATAAGTGCTCTCATGTGTGCATTGATAATTTTTTGCGGTTGACCAAACCGTTCCTTGAGCAGGTCTATGGCGGTTTCATAATTTGCGTTTGTGAGAGTAAATCCTGCAATGGTTTGTGCTGCTGCGTCCTGTAATTGAGCCTTGAGATACGAAAACTTCTGAATTGGTGTTAAAGTTTGGTTGCGGTGAATTGTTGATTCGTATGAATCCTAAAATGTATTCCATTCTAGTATATCCCCGTCAAAATGTGGAAGATTTAGTTTCGGTAGTCGATGATTATTTGTGGCCTGGTTGGATGGTAATGACAAAACATTTTTCTGCCAATCGTGGTTACTTTGTTCATCGAGATCAGTGGCAGGAAAATTGTTTAGAATATTCTCACAAGCCGTTTCACTTGAGTTGATTGCAGCTGCTGTGTTTACGTTACTATCATGAATTTCTAAGGCGGGTACAAAACACTCAGCACTGGCGTTCAAAGTTTTACATGAAACCTTATCGTAAATTTTTCTGTTTTCTTAATTTTGCAGTCTAATTCGTACATATACTCATCTGTGTTTGTGATTTCTTCTTCTATGTCCTCTTCAGATAATGCGTCTAATATGCGTTCATTTAGTTCTTGTAGAGTTTGTCTTTTTTGCGTTAGGGACTTTCTGATTATTTCGATTTCCCCCGTTACTTCACTGGCTGTATTTTCTTTCAAGTCCAAAAATCGTCCGAAAAGTTTCGTCACCGCTGATCTGTTACCGGCCCGTATGGCTTTCAGTCTTCCTTCCATTTTACGTATTATGTAGACATTCCGTCGATCACGGCACCAAAATTGTTGTGGAAAGAATAGAAATGCATCTTGATCGTATAGTGGTTTATTTTAGACTCTGTTATTAACTATAGAAACATAACGTACAGTATTGTGACGTAACAATAACGTTACGTACGATACATAAATCCGCGGATAATCCGTGACACCACACATTCACTGACATTAATGTGCTCGCTCTCTCTCTCTCTCTCTCTCTCTCTCTCTCTCTCTCTCTCTCGTGCTCTCACCTCCTGCGGTGCCTCAGAAATTGGAACAAGCCACTCTAAATCAGATGCCTTGGGAAGCTGCTTTTCTGAGAATTTCTTCAGTAGAAGAATGGCCACAGATTCTGCTGATACTCCAGACTGGTCTGAAACCTCCATAGAACTGCACAACAAAGACATAAACCTATAGATTTTAAAATCTTTAGAAACATCTGTTTTAAATGAGTCTTTGACCTCGTGTCCAAACTCAACTCAGATTTTTACTCTAGCATCGTGCATGGTTTCAAAAATTTAACTTTATTGTTACAATATAGCACAATGGTAACGAAAAATCATACATTCAATACCATAAAACTTACCTTTGTCTGTCAGGTTTAACCTTTTGTAAATCAGCATCTTTAAAAGAAAGTGGTCATTCAGTAAATGTAATTAAGCAAATATACTGGAGATTAATATTCTGACTTCATTTGGAGGAAATGATTTTAACATTAATTAAGTTTTTTAAAACAAAATAAAAGCAATTTTTTCTTGAAATCTTTCACATGCTCAGTGCATCAAAATAACAAGAGGCTCATGTGCAACTACACTCACCTGAGTAGCACAAATTGGGATAAATAAGGTCTTTTAGGATTTCCATAAACTGTTTAACATCAAATTTTTGCTTTCAACTGATGTACATTTCTTGTTTTGGAGAAGGATACAGATAAACAGACAAGTGACAAATAATTTTTTATCAGAAAATTTAAAACTTTGACAGACTCAATCGATTCTCTGTCTTGGTTGGACTCGAAATCAAAACTTTGCGAAGTAAGCAAGCAGAGGTAAGGTTTGGACTGAAGTGCATACCTGAGTATAGTGAAGCCAGGGATAATGAAAGCCCTTTGGATTTGAGTAAACTCAAATTTTCCTCATTTTCTTGTTCATTATCTGAAACTGTATAATTCAGTTGCATTAAAAGTGAATTGTCAGAAACTGATTTTTTTTTCATTTTCACAATCATCTGTCATCACACCATTTGTATGGTGCTTTATTTTAGATTTGTTTCTCTTTTTGCTGAATGGAAAAAAATGTATCAGTATTCCATATGTAGTATTCTATTTATCATGATGTTACAGCTATTCTGACAAGTCTGTCTTTTATTTTTAACATACAGAATTACAACTTGAATTGTTAGTAATTAAAATTTCAGACTCCTGTATGGAAAGTGTTGATTTATTTTTCCCTGAACAATATATACAGAAGCTACATGTAGACGTTAATTAGCACTGATCTGGGATGCCATCATGGTACATGTAACAGGATTTAAATTTTGTAGTGCTGAGTGTTCAGGTAATGCTTGGTATGGGGTAGATGTGTGCAACCTAAGGTGCCTTTGGATTTTACATAACTTCTCTTTATTTGAAGTTTTTTTTAAAAAGCCCTTGCACAACCCATTTTATGAATAAAGTTTATTGTAATTTACTAGATTTTTAATTTCTAAATACTGGTGCATTAAGTGAAAGACAACTTACTTGTAAACTCAATTTCTTCCACCCCAGCTTCAGAATCACTGCTGTCTGAGAAGTGAAATAAAAGAGAAAAGTTAAACAAACATATGCAGGAAATAATGATATTTTATAATCATAGAAAGAAATCATTGAAAGTACATATGTATGTTTCGTCACGAAGTGAATACAGTGTATGTATTTCTGAATATATCTGATTATTTGATTAACAAATGTATTTACATGCATTAAACTAAAAGATGTTAACTAGTTCTTAATTCACTCAAACTTCAACATTTGAATACAAATATCAATGCACACCTGTATTATTTTGGAAGGATGAACTTAAAACTGATGAAGGACTCTTGCTAGTAGTAGCAGCTGATAAAATGAAAATATAGTGGATATTAAAAGCCCAAAAGTACTTATAAAACAAAAGTATGCTATACTATACAAATAAAAACAAATATGAAATTATATTTGTGACTAGAATTCAAAGTACAAAAAAATTATCAGTGTACATAGAAGCAAATAAACAAAATGAAAAAAAAAAAATCAAGTGAGAGTTGAGTACTTCTTGTGAAAAAGTGAAATTATGAATTACTTACTTTCAGTCAGTCCATCACTTGATGTAGGGAAAAATTTGGCTCTCTGTGAAAGAGAAAAAGTAGAAAAATTTTTTGCTTATGGACCTTAAATTTCTTTTTTTTTTTTTACCCCCCTTACTTTCTATTGGTCTTTGATCCAGATTCAATGTTGAAGTTTATTTTTCTTACTCACTAAGTTTCTACTGATATCTAATCCAGGTTTATTGTTTAGGATTTTTTCCGTACCTCCCTAAGTTTCTGTTGTTTTTCTGATTTGGATTCGTTGTTTGGTTAGTTGACTTACCTCCCTGAGTTTTTGTTGCTTTCTGATCCGGATTAATTTTTTTTTAGTTTGTTGATTACCTCCCTTGGTTTCTGTTGCTTTCTGATCCGGATTCGTTGTTTTAGTTTGTTGACTTACCTCCCATAGTTTCTGTTGATTTCTGGTCCGGATTCGTTTAGTTTGTTGACTTACCTCCCATAGTTTCTGTTGATTTCTGGTCCGGATTCGTTTAGTTTGTTGACTTACCTCCCTTAGTTTTTGTTGCTTTCTGATCCGGATTCGTTGTTTTAGTTTGTTGATTTCCTCGTCTGAATCCTCTTCATCCACATCCTCGCGTATTTTGGGACTTATCACATGGTTCCACTTCATCTGCTCAATGGCTGCTATTAAGGCCTCAGAAATACTAAAATGGGCATTCTCCTGTAAATTATAAAGTAAAACAAGAAGGATTCACAACTTATTGTAATATACCTCATGTTAATTTTCTTTTGAATGAAAACTGATATTCTTAATATGAGAAATTAAAAATTTCTCTTATGAACCTTCAATTTCTAAAATGAAAAATCTTTTTCACAACCATTACCTCTTTACAGGTTTTTAAAAAAAATAGGATTCAAATAATAGTCAAAATTCAAGCACCTGTTCACTGTACAATTAAAATCATGACATTATACACATGTACCTGTAATTTCTTACCTTGTCTAGATTGGCACAGGTGTGGAAATCCTGGGAGGACAGGTAATTAATGAGGGACTGTCCCTGTAGCGGTTGTTTAAATGTTCCCTCCCCTGGTACATCTTTAATTAAAAAGCCACATGATGTATAAAAATTCGATATTTAAATAAGGCATAGACTTTTCAATATCCATTTCAAAAATTTAATTATTTCAATATTTGAAACATCATTTCCATGTAATATCCAACAATTTGTTGTATGGGTTACTTATAACTTTAAAGGATACATGTACTGTATTTGCAGCATAACATGCAACTTAATAATATATCCATAAGTGAATGTCATTTGTCATAAAACTTGTGTTGGTTGATTGATGTACTGTATAATACATGTTCATGTTCCTTGATATTTATATGTAGGATAAAAGTTTACAAACCTTTATTTTCATATATTACTACTCCTTTTCCTTCTGCTGAAACCTTATTCTCCTTTTGTGTCATTTTCTCCACCTTGACCCCTCCTTGATCTGACCTTGACCTCTTATGTCCTTTTGCTTTCACTTTGGCCTTTTCCTTTTCTTCTCCCTTTGGAGGACATTCAGAGTCTGAGAAAATGTCTTCAAGTCTACTCACAGACGCCGGTGTTTCGTGGCTAAAGTCCTCATTATCTTTGTATATATTTTTAATCACAGCCGAGGTTTTGGAAATTCCCATATCTGACTGGCTCCTGACAATGACCTTTTTGGACTTATGATTGACCAGCTGTGGAGTGGACACCACTTCCTTTAAGGAGGGATCCCTATGGTTCATTTCATCACTGAATTCTATATTTAGGAGAGGATCACTATTTAAATTGTCATAGAAACTAAAATCTGGAGCATCCCTTGTTGGAGACTCGGAACCAGATTTACGTAGAACTGTCCTTAAAGATTCCCGCGCCAAGGTCTTGGTTTCTTCTGGACTTGTGCTTTCTCCTGTTATATAAAGCCCAGACTTACACAAATTTGAAAAACAATTTAGCCTTCAAAGCACAGACTTGCATATGTGGCAAAAAATTTGTCAATATAGTTTTGTCTTTGAGATCAATATTTTCAGTTTAGACAGTGCTATATTACAAATGTAACATGTTAGTCAATTTGATCCTATAAACAAATACCATAATATTACATTAAAATCAATATTTATATAATACAGGTATTATTCAGTCATCATATGCTTGTACATCCTGTATATCGATATATGAATTGATCTACACATATGAACATACCACTTAGCTGCTGAGTATCAGGTGTTTTTAAATGACATAAGGTAATAATGGTAATATGTTGTTCATTACACTGAAGTGATATTTGACTGGGGCAGTGGGATAGAATTATGAATAATACTCCTGTAATTTTAGGATTCAAGATTACAAATAAAGGAATTAGAAAGCAAATACAAATATGTCACGCTGTCGAAAATCTACATCATCTATTACGAATCAAACAACTCTAAATATTCTACCGGTAAATGAGAGTAATATTTTCATACTTATGGAGGAGGGAACAGCATGCTCATCAGACATGCATAAGATGCTCTCCTGTTTTGGAGATGCAAAAGGTGGTGCAAGTGCCATAGCATCATGGGAACTTGACTTCCTATCACCAACTGAGTTACGATGCTTTCTTTCTGGTACAGCCCAGGATCTACTTCTGGTTCCCTTGATATCATGGTGGTCGTGACTTAGCTAAAAATAGATAATTTCATTAAAATAAAATGCTAAGACAAGGCTGGAGTAATATAATCTATAAATGATCATGAAATACATTTAACTGATAAAGTTATTCATGAACTGTTGATCTGTTTGTACTTTGCCTTTTTCTCTTCATGGATCAAAATAGATACAAATGTACACGAAAATAATATACATTGTAATAAAGTTCATTATCTCTCTCTCTTCATTCTTAAAAATGTTGCCTTTGATTTGATTTCTCTCCACTTTAAAAAATATATAATTAAAATGCACATAATGTACCGGTAAGTATACCTTGCGGGGTTAAATTTGAAAGAAATGGCTATCTAGCTTGATAGTTTTATAAAGGAATAATACCGGTATTTACTGGTCACAGTAAGAGTTATCTTTCATTGATCAGAGGGTCAATGAACCTAAAGTTGTCCATTTCCTAACAAAAGTTGGCCAATGTCATAAAACTGCAGAAATTACCTAGCTATTACATATTGTCTGGGAATCAATTCAATTTCTGTGTATAATACTGTAAATCACTTTTTATTCGCGAGAACTTTATTTTCGCGTAATTACGCGAGACGGAATGCTCACGAAAATTTCATTCTCGCGTATTATAGAATTTCTTAAGATTATATAGAGCAATGACCACAATTCGTGAAAATTTTGTCTCGCTAATAAAGAGTCAATGACTATCTCGCGAAAATAAGGTGTCGCGAAAATTAAGTGATCTACAGTAGTTAAAACAGCAAAAACTAGCTATACTTATATGGATCAAACTTTATAAAATAAATTTCCTGTACCAATTTTAGATCCAGCTCAGCTAACATGGAAATTCTATTGAGCTCAATGGCTTTAAGACAGACACACAAAGCCTTGAAGTACTGCTCATCATTAAGGAAAGCAAACTCTGAAATTCCAGATATTCCAATAATCTTAATCAATTCAAAACAATACAAGCAAAACCACATTATTAAAAATAATAAATTTTAACACACTGATACTTACCGAAGTAAAACTTGCTCATCAGTGCCTTGTTGGACACAAGGGTAGATAACTGGGAGGATAGGGTGTGGTCCCTTAAGCTCTCTCTAAGCCAGGTGGTTCCCTTGTTTCCTCCTGATCTATTGACCTTGTCCAGTGCGGGGGCCAGGACAGGGTTCAATGTCTTCAGACTGTACACAATTGGCCAGAAGTCAAGCTGTATGCCCAAGTCTCCCTGTTTAAATGAATTTTATTTTTATTATTACTGGATATCATAGTAAAACATGCTTATTACCATAATTGCAAGGGAAAAAGAATTTTGCTTCATTATAAACAAAGTCCATTAAATTAAGTTCAAATCATATTTTAAAGCTCCTAGTAAAAAGAAAATCACTAAGCTGTAAGCATCAGTTCGTAACAACTTAACAAGCATGCTCACTGTAAACATGTTTGATTGTAATATTATTCATCATTTCTGGTTTGAAGAATTCATGAAAATCTGCATTCCAAACCAAAAACATACTTTAAAACCACCAAAGAAAAGGAAGCCTACTTTAAAATGCTTTCAGTGAAACACAAGATAAAATAGAACCTACAACTAAAACTTAAACCTTTTTCCATTGACATCCTAAGTAGATCTATATTAAACTTTTTGGGGAATCTCCTTTGATCTTGATGCTCTTTACATTTCTCCAGACCTACCTTGATGCTCTTCAGACCTATATGTACCTTAATGCTGCTCATGCAGACCGTGGTACATGATATACTCCCTGATCTATCTTAATGCTCTTCAGACCTTGGGACATGATATACTTCCTAGACCTACCTTAATTAATGCTCTTCAGACCCTGGTACATGATATACTCCCTCACCTACCTTATTGCTCTTCAGACCATGGTACATGATATACTCCCTGACCTACCTTAATGCTTTTCAGACCGTGGTACATGATATGCTGCCCTGACATACCTTAATGCTTTTCAGACCTTAGTACGATATGCTGCCCTGACCTACCTTAATGCTTTTCAGACCATGGTACGATATGCTGCCCTGACCTACCTTAATGCTCTTCAGACCGTGGTACATGATATGCTCCAGTTGAGCACACATCCTGTTGAGGCCTCCGTGGATGTTCCAGACATTACTGCTCTGTCCAGACAGCAGTCCCTCGGTCACTGTCTTCAATCCGAACAGCAAGCTCTTGTGTTCTGATCTGGAATACCGCAGACAAAATTTTCTCTTTCATGTTGAATTGTTAATAACACTATCAAACTGTTATACAGTAAAACTCGGTTATAGCGAATTTACTTCGCTATATCCATAATTCGTTATATCCGTATAACGAATTCGTATAACCATTACAGCGAATTCGCAATATGTGTGTTTTCCTTCAGGTATTACTACCAAATATGTTAGGGAAGCAAATATTACAAAACATATCTTCGATAACTAAGGTTTTATTATGAATTGAATTTTATATACAAATGCTAAAAGTAAATTAAATCAATTCAAATTTTCAAATTTTTTATAATGTTGGAAAGTTCGCTATAAAAGATGTAAATTTCATTATATTTAACCTTAACGGGACTCAAAATCAGTTCGCTATATCTGTAAATTTGTTATATCAGAGTTCGTTATAACCGTACAATTTTACAAAGATTTGTTACGAATTTTGCCGGGGACCCTGAAAAACTTCGCTATATCCGTGAATTTGTTATATCCGTGTTCGTACTAAACGAGTTTTACTGTAGTGCATGGCTATTATGTATATATGATGTCATATGGATTTTATTTTCTAAATCTAAAATGTGCATGCTGTCAAATTATGAAATTTATGCACAAATTTTGAATATAAACACTGAAGTATAAATACACATAGTTTTCCATCTTCGCTAGCCAAGGGTTTCTGATACACTACTCTCCTCATGATTATGAAGAGAGTAGTGTATCAGAGATCCTTGGCTAGCGAAGATGGGTTTACTTTCCTTATTTGTTTTGTAAATGCTACAGTACTATATAATGACAGAGACATATAAATTTTTAAATGTCTCTGGTCCTTTGTTTATAAGACCAAGTATAACATCTTGATCAGCTCCTCCATCATTTAGAAGTTCACAAAAAGTTATTTCTGTGGTTATGACAAGAACTCAAAAATCAACAATTTTGCACCAATTACACTGTGACTTATTAGATTGAACACCAAATACTAAAATAGATCTCCTGTCTTGCAGGAAATGGATGGGATCGCCACGATTACATGTTCGTGCCGAGTGGTATTACGCTGAGTGGTTTTGCCCCATTTAACTACAGATATGTTCTTCTGTTAAGTGATTTATTTTACGTAATTAGATCATTGAATATCATTTTATGCCTGATATAGAGTGAAATTCTTTAAGAATTTAAAATTAATTAATGCAACATATATCGATTCATTTATTTCAATAAAACAAATAAATAGGACCTATATAAATAAATATATAGATTTAATATTTTGGTTTAACAAAAAAAATACTTACCTACATTTTCTTAATGGATTCATCAATGGATACAGAGCTCTAAATGAAGCCATATTTGTAAAAAATTTTGGTATATCGAATAAAACATCGGTATAGATAGAAAAAAAAACCCACAAGGGCGGCCTTTCATCTTTAATTTTTATTAAGCTGCTCATATTAGTCTGCTAATCAAGGGGCGAAACCATTCCGAGCGAACAAGGATTCAGGGCAAAACCACCCGCATTCGTCTTGCATGAGGGAATCAGACCACTCCAGTATGCTAGAGGCTCATAAGAAGATACACGTTCTTTTGACGGTGCTGTGTAACTGAGGACATATAAGGAGCGTAGGGATGTTAACCAAGATTCATACTTGTAGGATATAGATCAGACTATAAATTATATTATTCATATATTCTTTGCAAACTGAACAGAAAACAAGGGCACCGCTAAGCGGAGCAACCCCTCGCGACTGGACATTCACTGGAAATGGCAATCTCTCATAAGAGAGAAATTCTTTCGAGGAACGTTAAACATGTTAAAGATTGATAGTACAAAGCATTTTGTTTAATGTCCCTCTCAGGAATTTTTTGCTCATATGAAGGCTTGCAAGTAGAGAGCTACACATTCTTTCCTATGATAGGAACTGTCACTGATGATCATTTAGCAGTGAGGGATCTTTTTGTGCCAGCATCTATTGGGACATGGGCCCGTGGTTTACAAGGTCTCATTCGAAGGACCAGTCTCCAGGTCCCACAAAAGGATTTAAACCCGCAACATTACAATCAGCTCCCTTACTCTTGACAAAATTATTGTGTTGATCCATTTTTTTTTTACAAAATACAAAATGCATAGCGTCTTGGTCAAGGGAGGGCATAACAGGGATACCTAATTTGGGGCAGTAAAGTATAATATAAGATATAAAATTGTTTTTCAGCACTTTTTATTTATTAAACAAAATTATCGGGGTGGAGGATGTCTATTTTTATCAAAAATCAAATTGCATATAATTTCAGGGGGGGGGGGGGGCATAATATGCATACGTAATTGGGCAGTTTCCCTTATACCTAGCAGAAACTTTCACGTATGCTATATGTAAATAAGTTTCCGTAATTTTAATTATTTACCTACCTACAATGTACATGATGTTAGTATATCTCACAGTTCCAGGCAATATGTATTTTTTCGTAATGAAAAATAATAATGTACATGTACATCAAGAGGTTAATTGAACTTGTGGATTGTATTACAGCTTTCGGGAATAACGTGCACTCCAAATTCCTTGACACTTGTTGCTAATCTGCTTCACGTAACTTTAAAACTGGCTCTTAAACTGGTTCCCTAGCGGAAATGATTATTGTCAATTCGTACATAAAATGTCAGGGTTTCGAGACAGTGAAAATGCCATATATGAAGAAATATTTCAACAATGAACTTGAAAATGAATCTAATAGGCTTCATCTTTTTATACTGTCACACAAGTATGTAAACGCTGAGAGTGGTTAACGCAAAGGTTCTCTGTCAATCTTGCCCACAAATGATTATTGTCAACTCGTACATAAAATTTCAGGGTTTCGAGGCATTAAAAATGCGATATCTGAAGAAATATTTCATCAATGAACTTGAAAATGAATAGGCTTCGTCCTTTTATACTGCCACACAAGTATGTAAATGCTGAGAATGGTTAATGCAAAGGTTTTCTGTCAATCTTGCCCACAAGGTGTAACACACACACTAACACACTAACACACACACATACGCACATTCGCGATGCTATATCCCCTCCGCAACTAGTTGCGCGAGGGGATAATAACAGGTCCAGCACAATCTCTTGATTAAGCTATATAGCTTGATTTAGCTATATAGCTTTATTAAGCTATTCGGAATAGCTTGATTAAGCTATTTTCTCAGACTTTTTTCTCAAATGTGCTATTTTTTCAACATGTGCAAAAAGTCGCACCTAGGTGCAGTGGAAATATTAAACTTTGTTCTCTTCTGAATACAATGCATGTAAAAATCACTCACCACATTGTGTCTCCTTGAGAGACTTTGTACTCCAAGTTTTAAAAGTTTTGGGGCTATTGATGAGTGACCACACAGTTATTTCTTGAATGAAATTATTAAGGAGGCCAGTTATGGCCAACAGGATAATCAATTAGTAACAGTTCAGCACAATGAGAAGCAATCATACTTACCCACGCCTCACCGCACACACAGTTACTCAAACAATGGAAATTTATATTTTGCTTAAAGTATTCAACAGCAGCAATGTAAGAACTTTCTATGATTTAGGTTGTATTTTTGATAGTCCATAGTACATATATGAATAGTCAAATACTTGCGACTTTTTGTTTTTTTCTTTCAAAAAACGTTTATATAAAAAAAACTGCATATAAATAGCTTTATCAAGCTATATTGAATAGCTTAATAAAGCTATATAGCTTTTTAAAGCTATCTAGCTTAATCAAGAGATTGTGCTGGACCTGAGTAATTCTGTAATCCTATTCTAAGAAACATCAAAAATATTCCAATGACCTTTGGAGATTTATCCCTTTCAAAAAAAATTGAGAAAATTTTACTTAAATTTATAGACTTAACCTTTGTATTCTTGGCTGGCTTACAATTAGCATGGTTGAATTGTCAAAAATTATAGAAACACAAAATAATAAAAAGTTGTCTCCGCCCATCAATCGCATCATATATTTTTGTTGATTTTCAATATTTACATTGATTATCTCTCAGAGAATTTTAATTAACCTGTAATTATGATCCGTGTGTACTTCATCTGACATCTTCTTGCAATTCAAAAGTCTACGTCCTTGATGATATATTGAATCAGAAATCTCAATAAATTTGTTTACATTTTGACTGCTATGTCGGAATTGTCATGTGTCTATTCAAGTCATTTCAGTCTTCAAGTGAAATAAGTTAAACTTTCGTACGAGTAAAACGTTTTGGTGATCCCTACACGTGTCTTTCGGGTGTCTTCGAGAGTTAACCTTCGTAAACATTAACCTCTCAAAAGAAAAACAGGAATGTAGTCTTATGAAACCTTCAAAATGCCAGGATCTTTGATACTTTTATGCAGATTTCCAGCAAAGCGATCACTGGAAAGGTGAGAGTTTTTACGGAGGACATGTATATCCTCTTTTTAATTTGGTCACACTGTCTCTTGCAGTTCGAATTTCCTCAGTTTCTGTAACCCCTTATGCAATGTTGTGGTATGCTTTTTTACACTTGTAATGGGAATGAATTTGTGGACCAATCTCTTCATGCCATTAAAAACAAGAAATATTAAATTACCACCAAAATCGGCGAACGATCATGTGAATATAAAATTAAAACAGTTGCTACTGGCATGAGAAAATTCCAGAATGATTTCTTTTGATAAGTTTAGACGAAACTTTTTGAGTTGGGCCATTTTTAGTCAATCTGCTGAGAAATGGAAAAAAAACTTTACAAGAAATTATTCGACCTTGGACATTGAATCAAATTTTTAAAAAAATAATTGGCGTCAACTTCACTCATAAAATATTCCAATTAATCCATTCTGTCATTATACATTTATGTAATGTGTGTAATTGAATGTTGTGCACAGTGCATGCACTTATGAACTCTAAAAAGAATTTTTCAATAAATTATTGCTATTTTTGTCTCTGAAGTAATTCAAGTTATTTGGTTGCAGCATTATTGTAAACATGGTAAATTCATGCTATATTTTATGTTTCAGTTTAACATCTTTATGCAAACACAGTCATGTTTTCAATGAAGCTTGTCAAGGAAGACTTCTCCTGCCAAAGGGAAACAACTGTTCTTTTACGCACAAACAGTTTATCAGAGGGGCTCGGGGCACAAAACTTGGTCCACATCAACCTTTTGAGAGTGACAGTTCTCTTCTCATGAAGCATTTCCTATTAACTGTCACAGTAAGGCTTAATTAAAATTGTAGATTTAATGGCATATTCTACAGACAGACAATTAAAGAAGAAAGGAACAGATAATTTATGATCTTTCTTCAGTGTTCATATCATAAGCATGATAAGCAATGTTCATTCTTTCCTTTTTGTTTCTATTTAATCTAATGTTAAGACCGCGGAACATTAACTGGCAAAATTGGAAATATACAGCTTACGTCATTTCTATCTGTTACAATCAAAACATTCAGTGATAGACAATGTAATGGGCAGGTACAATTCGACGCGGACGTTTGGAAAACATCGGATTCATTTTCAATCCACCTCAGCTACGCTAGAAGGCACATTATTACTGATTGACCCAGAAGACAAATAATTTCAATTTTGGTACAGTTTGAATTTTTTTGTCTAGTGTTTTAAATGAATAACTATTTAAGGGACAAATATTTCATTTCTGTTCGGTATATACATGTATATCTTAGTGTTGGTGATGGTGGTGGTGGTGGGGGGGGGGGGGGTGAACGATTTTTTAATAAAGTTGTCCAACAGTTTTCAGCGAAAATAAGTATAAAACTCATGCACTCTTATAATCCTAGAAATAAAATATATTGTCATGTTAATTAAGCCATGACCTGACTCGACAATTTTTACCCCCCCCCCCCCCCCCCCCCTTCTAGAATCAAATATCTCCTGAAAAACAATCTTTGTCTTGTATGACCTTTCTCGTTCTTAAAATTATAACAACAATATGTATTTGGGAGTTGAGATATAGTTGATTTTTGGATCATACATTCACTCTTTGCTTTCAAAACATCTCAGGTGGATTGAAAATGAATTTCGATCTGCAATTTCAATCCGATGTTTTCCAAACGTCCGCGTCGAATTGTACCCGCCCATTTCGTTATCTATCACTGAATGTTTTGATTGTAACAGATAGAAATGACGTAAGCTGTATATTTCCAATTTTGCCAGTTAATGTTCCGCGGTCTTATTTAATATTTTTCAATTCCTGAATCAGTTGAATTATCAAATTAAATTTATTATATAAGACTTGCTAGTTGCTGGTGCTATACATATTGACAATAGGATATCATTAGTTCAATTACATTTTCTCCTCTTTCTCCTCTTCTGTGAAAATTGTCTTTGTTTCATTTCATTTTCTAAATTTTTCATATCTTCAAATAATTTTTTCGTACATTTAATGTAGGTATGTGGGTGCAGTTTCACAGGTGCCATGATTTGGGAGTATGAAAACATAAAGAAAAAAATTCAAGCAATGAAGCAACAATTGTACTTCAACCATGGAGCATTCAAAAATCACTTCATAGAAGTTGTAAGTAGCAGTAATAAATCAATATACCAGCTGAGGGTATGTGTTATGTGATGTAATACCGGTATGCTTTACTTATACAAGTTAGAAAAAAATACACTGGTAACTTTTTGAATAGAAGTATAATGGAATATTTTTCATGCCCCCTTAGAAGAAGGGAGGGCAAATGCTTTGCTGCTGTCTGTCAGTTGGTCGATCTGTCAGTTTGTCTGTGGGTCCACCACCAGTTTCCGTTCATTTTCTTTACAGAGGTTGCACATATTGAAATGAAATTTCGTATACAGATTTATCGTTAGAATATCAAGATCAAGTTTTGTTTTGGGTAAGATTGGACCATTTTGGACAGAGTTATGCCCCTTCAACTAAGAAAATTCTAATTATTTGGGTGACAGGGGCATAAGTGTTTTACAAACATCTCTTGTTTAAAATAATTTTTATTTGAGGAAATACATTGAATCATATGTAAATGAATAAAGCAATTTATATTTTCTTCCACGACAAGATTTATTTTTTAAATTTTACTTGCAGACAAACCTAGTGAGTGGCATTGTTGTGATCAATGCTTTTGTTTACGTTTTATGGAAGATTCCCAGGATTTATCCCTTTATGCAGAGATATTTTTTATGCTCTCCTTGTAAAGGTATATAGAAAGTAAAACATTGATGCTTACTGTATTTTCTCACCATTGTCAATAAATATTAAATGCTTGTACTTTAGTATAACAAATTACATTTTAACTATTGTATGATGTCAAAAGTTACAACTTTTATAATTCAAATCAGACTTGCTATTTTCTCACTGTTGTCAAAGAATATTAATTGTTTGTTCTTTTTCAGAACAGTCCGTCCTGGGGAGCTTTTTTGCGGCCTTCAGCCATGAGAACTTCCTCCACCTGTTCTGTAATATGTATGTCCTGTTGAGTTTTTCTACTGTTACTCTTAGCATGTTTGGAAAGGAACAGTTTCTAGGAGTTTATCTGAGTGGTGGTTAGTGGTCTATTTATATATATATATATATACTGCAGTTTGTTAAACGAGAGGAGCCCATTCTTTGATTACTAGTAATCAATATTGTTTCCTTTTAAAGCATAAAAATATCAATTTTATCTCTCTCTGTAGAACGTAATGACAATCACTTTCAAATGAAAAAAAAAGAAATATTAATGTGGGAAATATTTGAAGCTAAATAATGACCATAAACCTTTATGACATTATAGGGGCATAAGTCTGTTAAAAAGACTCTTAATAAGGATAATGTCCTTTAAATACTATACTTTATCATGTTTATGTGTATAATTCTTAAAGGGCAGATCTGTAATAATTATAATGCCTCTTCTTTGTGGCTTTAAGGGTTTATGAGTGCCTCTTATTTGCCAGTGAGTTTTTTTTTAGAGGAGATTTTTTCTATTTAATTTACTAATCTAATTTGTTTTCTTTGTTCTTCTTGTAGCTGCTGTTTCATCTTTTGTGAGCATGTGTAACAAGGTTGCCTGGAAGATTCCAACCCCTTCTGTAGGAGCGGTGAGCTGATACTAAAACTTTACTAGCATATCATATTTTCGTTTTTAGAAAAGCATACTTTGTCTTGTAGATTCTATCAGATTTTTTAGTTATTAAATTTGCTATAAATAAGTTCTTACAATCATAATTTGAAATATTCAAGTTCCAGAATGCATTATCAGTTAAGGTCAGTACAGATTGTCTGCATTCTTTTATTGTGTTGTTGAATGGTATTTTTTCTGTCGTTTAGTCAGGTGCTATATGTGCCTTGATTGGAGCCACCTGTCTTACCTACCCAGATAGCCAACTCAGTATAGCGTTTATAGACCAGATTATCCCACACTCATTTTCAGCTCAGTCAGTGAGTATAGACATTAAATCTACCCAGATAGTCAACTCAGTATAGCGTTTATAGACCAGATTATCCCACACTCATTTTCAGCTCAGTCAGTGAGTATAGACATTAAATCTCCCCAGATAGTCAACTCAGTATAGCGTTTATAGACCAGATTATCCCACACTCATTTTCAGCTCAGTCAGTGAGCATAAACATTACATCTACCCAGATAGTCAACTCAGTATAGCGTTTATAGAACAGATTATCCCACACTCATTTAAGGCTCAGTCAATGAGTACATATATAGACATTAATTCAGTTGTATTTTTTTATCAAACACTTCATTCCTTTAAATTCTTGCTTGTACATGATAAATTTAGCTTGATTGATTTAGAGGTGAATCATTTCTAGCTGTATCATTGTTGTACATAAAATAATATCAGCTGATTAAGTATTTCTTCCCAGTAATAGTATTACACATGAAACACTGACCAACAATAATAGTTATTGTATACTTGTGTTGCACATTCTTTGCTCTCAGTTGAACGCATCTCATTCACAGAGTCATTTAAATTCATCCTTCAAATAAAGATCTATATACCCGGTACTAGAAAATATTCAAATGCCTCTCTATTCTGATTTCCCATGAATATCAGAATAATATAATACAGTATTATTGCAAATGTATTTTCCATCCCTAGGGTCTACTAGCATTGGTGACCTTTGATACCTTGGGAGTTATATTTAGATGGGGATTTTTTGATCATGCTGCACATTTAGGTGGAACCTTATTTGGCATGTAGGTATTTTTCTTGGAACTATATAAAATTTCAGTATTTTAAATAATTTTTTTTTGTGATTTTACATGAATCCTGAAAAGGAAATACAAAAACTGACACTTCACGACTTTTGTTTTTCAGATGGTATATGAAATATGGACAGGATCTTATCTGGAAAAAGAGGGAAGCTGTAATTAAATGGTGGCATAACATGAGGAAACCTTCAAAATGACTGCACTTTTTAAACTAATAAAATTTACATTATTTATGGCATTTTGAAAGTCATTGTTATGAAAAAAAACTTTAAAAAATTAAATAAACATGTGTATGTGTCTCTTAAACCTTTGCGTCGTAGTCTGAGGTTAATTAGAGAAAACAGTACCAGGATATGAGTACCAGTTTGAAGTGATCTTACTTCTAAAAATCAATACATTAAGTGATACTCAAAAATAATGACAAAACATAAATTAATTGTAAGATTTGTTGCAACACATACATTTATGTATAAATGACCTTGGAACCAAAATTATCCATTCAGGGTCAGTGAAATACATAAAATGGGGCTGTGTAAAGAATATGCATCATGTGTCAAAGTTGTTAGATCTGTGTTATAGTTTATATTAAATTTTGTCAATCAGACATTAATACTGGAAACACTGATTTCATATCTACCATAATCACTTGTAGTGTCATTGTGCACCTCCTATATATTACTATTAGATTGACACATATTTCTTTTTTGGTTTTTCATAGCAAAACAGGGATACAACCATTCTATTTATAATATTGAAGGGTACCCATCTCTTATCCGCAACTCCTCCTGTACCACTGAATAAAATTTTTTATGACATTCACAAATTCTTTCTTACATAGTGCCATTGTGACGTCCTGTTTTATTTACTTTCTGATCTGACACTTATTTCGAGTCTCCCAGAGGAAAAAAAGTATTTGCCATTGTAATCATATGGGATGTGGTATCGTTTTGTGAGCTCAATGCTCACATTGTCTCTAGTCTCGTCAATAATTTTGAAACATTCGCAACTGCACGAAGTGTATATCATGTAAAAACTATTTGCCACTTTTTTGCGAAAAAAAGTATCTATGTGATTTTGTTTCTTGAGGAATACCTAATGTATGTATTTTAATCTTAGGACTAGAGCAATTAAACACAGGTGCTTGACGTTTTTAACCTTTCTCTTCATAAATAAAAATATCCCCTGTACTATAATAATATAGTACAGGAGATATTTTTATTTACGAAAAGAAAGGTTAAAAACGTCAAGAGCCTGTGCAATCAAACTGATAAGAATATAGATCATCAGAATATATTGTTAATCGGTCGGTGTCTTAATATGGAAACAAGTAACATGTTATGTATTCTTTTTGGTTTCCTTAATGTAATCTGTGTTTTGGGTCACCCGGGATTGGAAATCCACTCGGCAGATGTCGAAGGGAAAAAGTTATGTTCCGATGAGAAATTTTTTCACATTCAGCAAGAAAAAATTGACTTTCTTATGAGAAAAGTTTCTGAACTCTCAGCTGGTTTTCAACAACAGAAGACGGAAATAATCAAACTGAAAAACGAAAATAAATATCTGATTGGTGCTTTGTCGGACATTGAGAAAATGTTTCAAAGTAGTCAACGCAAAGATGACCATTCGAAGTTAAAATATGAAAACGGATAAATTAAGAAGAGTTCATTACAACAAGTGGAAGAAGATAGAGAGTCGACAAAAGCTACAGAAAGGAAGGGTATCTCAAAAATCAGAAAAGGTATAGTTAATATTGACATATTACTCAAAAATAAGCGTCAAAACCGAGGGGGTCTTAGCCCCCCCCCCCCTCCTCCCCCCGCTTTTTTGAAAAGATAGACAAAATAATAAAGGCATTGAAAATTGCAATTTGGGTCCCCTCCTCTTTTTCATAATACTTTTCTGTATTTATAAAATCAAATTTCACTGAATTCAAAGTTGTTGATGGTCTTCATTAAATGGTTTGCTGCAATCACTTTTAAAAGAAACTTTTTCTCCACAGAAAGGCTATTGCTACCACTTCCTACAACCCATGCACCTCCTACAAGTATATATAAAGACGTCATAGCTTTTTATGCGTATATGACGGGTGACAGCATTGACCCTGGTGCCTCGCGCACTCTCATCTTTGATAAAATAATCACCAATGCTGGAAACGGATATCGCAATACCACTGGAGTTTTCATCGCTCCCCGAACTGGCTTTTATGTTTTTTCATGGTCCATGCGTTTATTCAACGGTTCTTACCACCGAGCGGAACTGGTGCACAACCACAACGTTATGGGCGTGGTCTATCTCTACGCCCCCACCGGAGACCACACGGTCAGTCGTACGGTAGTCATTCACGTTAACCAAGGGGATGAGGTTTTCATCAGAACACAATCCGGGGCCAATTCTGGGAACATAGAAAGTGGGCCTGGTGGACGTACGTCTTTCTCTGGATGGAGACTAAATTAGACTTTATTGACCACAATGACTTCTTCTGCAAAGTTTTCATCAATACGAGAATAATAAAAAGAATGTTTAAATATACTTCAGAATCTTCATCTACATGTTATTTCCCAAAAATATATTAAAATTATATTTTCTTTCCATTTAGATTAAAAGGCTTTGAAACCACTCAGAATGTGACCCGGCCTTGTTTATAAAACATGGAAACAACCATCCTATCTAGTATAATATTGAAGGATACCCATCTCTTTTCCGCAACCTCTCCTATACATGCACCACTGATTAAAATTTAATGTAACTTTCACAAATTCTTTCTATACTTTTTGATCTGATACTTAAACTAAGTCTCCTAGAGAAAAAAGTACATTGCCATTATAATCAAATGGGAGCCAGGAGTATCGTTTTTCGAACTCTGTGCTCACAGTGTCTTTAGTTGCGTCAATAATTTTGAAGCATTTGCAAATGCACTAAATGTATAGAATCTAAATTTATTAGCCACTTTTTTGTGGAAAAAAGATGCATTTATATTATTCATAGGCTTCGGAAGCAAATTGAAAAGGGGGGGGGGTTGGCGGGGCTAAACCAACAAAAAAAGGTAAACCCCAATTTTCAATGCCTATACTATGTATTTGTTTGCAAAAAAGGGGGGGATAAGCCCCCCCTTCCTAGCCCCCTGGTTTCGACATTATTTTGTTTCTCAAGGAAGACCTTTGTATTTTAATCTGACGGACTAGTGAAATCAAACTGATAAGAAAATAGATCATCAGAATATATTGTCAATCGGTCGGTGTCTTAATATGGAAACAAGTAACATGTTTTGTGTTCTTTTTGGTTTCCTTAACGCAGTCTGTGTTTTGGGACACCAAGTTCACTCGGCAGATGCTGAAGGGAAAAAGTTGTGTTCCGATGAGAAAATTTTACACATTCAGCAAGAACAAATTGACTTTCTCATGAGAAAAGTTTCCGAACTTTCAGCTAATTTTCAACGACAGGAGACGGAAATAATTCAACTGAAAAACGAAAATAAAAATCTGATTGGCGCTTTGTCGGAAATTGAGAAAATATTTCAAATTAGTCGACGCAAGGACGGCCATTCAAAGTTAAAATATGAAAACGGATTTAAGAAGACTTCATTGCAACAATTAGTGGAAGAAGACAGAGAGTCGACAAAAGCTACAGAAAGGAAGGGTATCTCCAAAATCAGAAAAGGTATTGTTAGTATTGACATATTACTCAAACATAGGGGTCGGAACTGAGGGCCCCCACCACACAAACGCTTTTTTTCAAAGAAAGACATAATTAAGGCACTGAAAATAATTGCAACTGCTCCTTCTCCTCCTTCCCTATTGATATGTTACATTATTTTTTGTCTCCACGGAAAGGCTATTGCTACCACTTCCTACAACCCATGCACCTCCTACAAGTATATATAAAGACGTCATAGCTTTTTATGCGTATATGACGGGTGACAGCATTGAGCCTGGTGCCTCGCGTTCTCTGATCTTTGATAAAATAATTACCAATGCTGGAAACGGGTATCACAATGCCACCGGAGCTTTCATCGCGCCCCGAACTGGCTTTTATGTTTTTTCATGGTCTATGCGTTTAGTTAACAGCGCTTATCACCAAGCTGAACTGGTGCACAACCACAACGTTATGGGCGTGGCCTATCTCTACGCCCCCACCGGAGACCACACGGTCAGCGGTACGGTAGTCATTCACGTTAACCAAGGGGATGACGTTTTCATCAGAACACAATCCGGGGCCAATTCTGGGAACATAGAAAGCGGGCCTGGTGGACGTACATCTTTCTCCGGGTGGAAACTAAATTGAATTAAAAATTGACAAAGATAATTTACCAAATTTGATTTATTCGATGTGAAAGAAATTATCCAATGTATTTATATCTTTGTAAGCATTTGACATAGATGTTAATGATGTATGAGAAATTAATAAAAGACGAAGAATACACCTTTTTTTAGTTAATCTACTTTCTCATTTTTTTTTTACAACTTCGTACACGTTGATCAAATCAGTAAAAATCAATTAGTTATCGACCACACGTGATGCGTGATTGTTTATGGTAATATTCTTTTCTACAAGATAAAAGTGTAAATATCGACAGATCCCCCTCTTTAACAGAAATCATCACCGTTCCTGTTGTCTGAAACACGTGCTGGTCACATATAAATCTCTGTGTCCAAACAGAAAATGACGTCATGATCGAACAAACATCAGTTCGACAGAAGGTGAGATTTTTAGTTTTTTTTGAAAGAGAATGGAGCTTTTAAAATGTCTAGTCATGTGTACAACTTTATTTTGTATTTTTGGAATTTCAGCTAATGCACAATTAAGTAAGTAAAAAAGTTTTTATTCTTGTGTACTTCAGACTATCTATGGTCATTTCTTGAGCATAAAAAATATATCAGATTTTCACAAAAATTACGAAGGACAAAGAAATTTTAGTGGATTTCGCTATACTTTGAGGCAGTTTTAAAATATGATATAGTTTGGTAAGATAGAGGGGATGTTCATTTTATCATATTTTCCAAATATCAGCTGGATTGGTTACTTCTCTAAATTCTATATAATTTTTTTTAACTGCGTTCAACATATTTTTCACAAACAGTACATATACGTTTATTAAACCATCATGTTTTTTTTATGTAAACCCTTTTGCAATAATATTCATTTTTGATGTGTCTACACAATTAGTACTTATATAAATGTGAAATGCTTAAATTTTTGCCTTTTTATCGGAACATAGAGCATTAAGCTCTAGCTTATCGGAAAATTGATTCATCTATCAATTTCGGTATTTTTTTTTTAAGATGAAAGTACATTTAGAGAGCTTGATTTTAGCAACCTTATCAGTAAACATGTTCTACCAAAAATGAAGGGGCACATTTTTATGCCAGAAAATGATACTACAGTCCAGAATGACACAGGTGAGTGTGGCAGATATGCTTTTATAAGATTTATATTATAAATGTTTAATTTTAATTATATATAGCTAAATAACACTTCTTGTTAAAAAAATTGAGTTTTAAGCAGACTTTAACATTATTTTTTGTACATGCATAGCATTCAAATCGGTACCTTTATTTTCAGAGATAGTTACACCTACTACCAGGAAACTAGATTTTGGTAAGATATTCATTATGTTTTTGTTTAGCATCCTACGAATATATTTTTAAAATAAGTCCTACTATTTCATTTTATTTATTATTTATTTATTTATTTATTTATTTATTTATCTATTAATTTATTTCTTTCTTTCTTTATTTATTTTTTCTTTGTTTGCTATGATACTTATAATAATACAATAATACAGATGCTTAATATTGAATAAGTTTTACGTACTTTCTTTCATTATCTTATTAGATCTCTTGAAATGTTAAAATGGTATTGATATATATTTTTGATCACAAAATAAACGCAAATATCCGAGATTCCAGAAGATACGAAGAACTTAAAGTTTTATCTTAGTTTTATTTAATAAACGAGTTACCTTTTCATACCTACAGACACACGTTGGATTATCTTTCTTTGAAGATCGCCGCATTAATACATGCCATTAACAGAATGACCCACTTTTATAGTGTAAACGTGCTTTTAATGCTTATCCTTTAAGTTGATATAAAAGTTTATTAGACAATAATTGACATCATCAATTTGATGTTAAATCTAGTTATGCAGTATTAGAGTTAATACTGAAATGGAAAAGAAAATATTAAAGAAATTCTTTTCCATGTAAAACTCATTACTTTACCACTGTGATATATGCAATAAGTATATAAGTGAACACAGAACCACGTGGCGGTAAGATCATACTCTTAGGGATCATTTCTATAGTATGTATCGCCGGGACACCAGGTAAAACTGTGTGAACCAGAAACCACGACGATGAGTCAGAGTGGCCCCTTCTGAGCGTGAAGCGGGCGAGGGCTGCTGGGCTTCACCGCCCAGCCCGGCCCTCGTCATTGATGACCGTTCCTCTCTCCCATAAGTGGTGAGTTGGAGGAAGGGGTCACATTCTGAGTGGTTTCAAACTTTTTTAATAATTAAAATAGAAGGAACTGCAAACTTTATCTATTTTTTGGTTAATTGGTTAATTATTAAGTACTGTATCCCTCGGGAATACTACGATGAGGATCAACTCTCAATAAAATTTGGAAATTGATATTTCGACATAAAAAAAAATTGTGTACAAATCATGTACAATGAAGCGCATTGAAGTGGTAAAATTTTCCGTTCGAATGGAACGTTTTGAGCTATATTTAGAGTGTTTATTGTCATCTTTTGACACGCCCATTTCTTTAGAAATTGATAAAACGGTCAAGTTGTTTCTTCAAATACCTGTAGAACAGGTTTTCCATAAATATAATAGCCAATGAAATTGAGGATCTAAATAAACACCGAGTAAACACGTGTTCGACCAAAACATGTGTTGTGGTAACTTCAATAGACATGGATAAGTTCAAAAATATGCATATATTCGTTGCAATTTGTGTTTAACAGAAGCGGGGAGTATCTAACTCCCTCTTCTATTTTTTTAAAGCTCCATTTCAGTGTAACTCATGATGCTTGTCGCGAAGAATGGGATGTCCTAAAACTACGACGAATATTACTTTCTCGTTTCTAAAAATATGGGCGTGTCATTGTGTTATAAATGACCTTCAAAACATGACTCAGAACTTTTCATCCAAACGGAGAATTTTACCACTTCAGTGCGCTTCATTGTATACGTAAAACCTACATAATGATTAAAGTATACTGTAATGGTGGTGGTTACAGCACCCAAAACTAGAGGTACTGTGAGCACTGAGCCTACTAAATGTTACACCCCCCCCCCTTCCTGCCTCCCATATTAATATAGTGGCGAAATAGATGTTTTGCTCCGGGAGATTCTAAATAAGTGTCAGATCATAAAGTAAAATATAGGAGGTGGACCATGGCATTATGTTATTTAAAGAATATGAAAGTATCATCAAATTTTATTTAGAGGCGTGGGAGGAGATGGATACCCTTCAATATCATAGAAAGAATGACAGTGTCCATGGTTTGCTATGAGGAACTCGAAATATGTTACCGATCAAAAAGTAAAAAAGGAGGTGCACAATGGCAATATCTAAAAATGATTCTGTGAAAGTTTCATTAAATTTTAATCAGTGGTATAAGAGGAGTTTCGGATAAGAGATGGGTTGACTGACGAGGTATCATTTAGTAAGCTAAGTTCTCACAGTACCTCTAGTTATAACCCCCTCCCCCCTCCTGCTTGAAAAGCGGGCATACCTGTAAATTGTGGTCGGGATGTCCGTCCGTCTGTCACGCTTTGGGGTACCCATCTCTAATCCGCAACTCCTCCTATACCACTGAATGATTTTTGATGAGACTTTCTCTTTGTTACATAGTGCCATTGTTCACCTCCAATTTTACTTTTTGATCAGACATACATTTTGAGTTTCCAAGAGCAAAACATGAACACGACTTTTCTTTTTATAATTTTGAGGGGTATCCATCTCTTATCCACAACTTCTCCTTTACCACTGAATAAATTTTAATGATACTTTCACAGATTCTTTATTACATAATCCCACTGTGCACTTCTCATTTTACTTTTTGATTTGACACTTATTTCGGGTCTTCCAGAGCAAAACATGGACTTACCATTATAACTATATGGGAGACAGGGATATCATTTAGTGAGCTCATTACTCGCAGTACCTTTAATTGTATTTTACTCAATACAATCAATCACACAAAAATCTTTCTTCATATCAAATGGTTAATAAGTTAAATATGGAATTAACACAACTATTTATTTATTATATAAAATATTTGTCAGTGTGCAACTTGTTTGATAAAGACACAGAAGGTTTAAAATCATCTTGTTGTATATTTTTTGTGATACCAATCATTCCAAATACGCTAGTATTTAAGTAAATTAGTCTATTTATGCTGTACATTCTATAAAAATATACGCGAGCAATTTATTTTCTACCAGAAGCAAGGATACCGAAATTTATAAAAATGTTTTGATTATAATGAAATACATGTAAAACCATTAATAAACTGCTGTTTTGGATATAACTACCCGCGAATTCTTTTTTTTTCTGCGATTTTACTTCTACATATTTTCTTATTTAAAATATAATTCCCATAACTTATAAAAATGAGGTATTGGGTAATTTATTCTATTCATTAAAAATGTTTAAAGTCAAGTTTCTATGAATTAATTAACAATATCTGTCCATCCATTATAACCCCCCTTTCCCTTCCCGCCGCTTGAAAAGTGGGAGGGTATATATGTTTAGAGATCTAGATGTTCTTGCATCTCTTTGGAGTATACTCATCTCTTATCTGCAACTGAATGAAATTTAATGAGACTTTCACAGATTATTTGTTACATGGTGTCACTGTGCATCTCCAATTTTACTTTTAGATCGTAAGCACATTTCGGGTTTTACATAACGAACCATTGACACTGCTATTTTTTCATTAATTAATATTGAAGGGTGTCCATCTGTTATCTGCAACTCTTCCTATACCACTGAATAAAATTGAATGATAATTTCAGAGATTCTTACATAATTTCAGTGTGCACATCCTATTTCATTTTTGATCTCACACTTTTTTCGGGTCTCCCAGAGCAAAAAATGGACCCATTATAATCATATGGGACGCTGAAGGTAGCATTTAGGGAGCTCATTACTCACAGTAATTGCCGAACCTTTTTAATAGGGTAGACATAAACATGATCAATAAAATGAAAAAAATTATGAGCTTTGAAATATCATAAAAGTGACATTTTTTCTAATAATTGTATGTTG